CAATTCCCAAACATTGCAATGTAGTTAACAATATCATCATGGAGAAGGATTGGACCAAGCTTCGTCTTCATATGTGACACGAGTGGAGACTGTTAAATCTAATGTGGATCCTAGTGAACAAGTTATGAATATTCTAAATGACATTTATCCATACGCCTCGAGCAACACCAATTAGGAAGAGGGAGATGACGGCTGTCCAACCATGGACAGTGAGCCATTCAAAAACTATGAAAAACTATTGAAAAATGCCAAGCAATATCCGGGTTGCGAGAACTTTTCGATGCTCATAGCAATTGTGGAGTTGATGCATGGCAAGATCAAGTTTCGTTTGTCAAACAAGTGTTTTGATTACTTTTTGGGAGTTATCAAGAGGATGCTTCCAAAGGAGAATTGTTTACCTGAAGATCATAAAAGTGCCCAAAAAGTGTTGAAGGGTCTCGGATTGGGGTATGAAAAAATTCACGTATGTGTAAATAATTGTATATTGTTCTATAAGGAGAACAAACAGTTGGATAAATGCCCTATCTGCAATGAGCCGAGGTTTAAAATGACATCACAGAATAGAAAGACCAAGATTCCACAAAAAGTAATGCGTTATCTTCCATTGAAGCCTAGGTTGCTGCGATTGTACATGTCGATGTATACCGCAACCGACATGAGATGGCATAAAGAAGGATGGGTAAATGACAATGTTATGATGCATCCTACAGATGGAGAGGCATGGAAAGAATTCGATCAGATGTACCCTGATTTTGCAGCTGACCTGCGTAACGTCAGATTAGGATTTGCCACCGACGACTTTAATCTGTTAAGAGTTTTAAACCAAATCCACATCACTTGGTCGGTCGTCGCATTTCCTTATAATCCGCTGCCTTGGAAGTGCATGAAAAAGAAATACATGATGTTGACTCTATTAATTACCAAAGATCCAAGAAAGTCTATTGATGTTTATTTGCGACCGTTGGTTGATGAGCTAAAAGATTTATGGGAAAATGGTGTTCGTACATACGATAAGTATATTAGGAAGATGTTCACAATGCGAGTGGCAGTGATGTGGACAGTAAACGATTTTCCAGCATATGCAATGGTTTTTGGGTGGTTGACTAAGGGTTATTTGGCATGTCCAATATGCAAGGAGAACGTAACATCGTCTTGGCATGCGAGAAAAGTTTGTTATCTTGGTTATCATAGATGGCTCCCTTGGGACAACGAGTGGCATTAGGACGATAAAGCCTTACACGGCACAAAAGAGACTTGGCCAAGACCAAGAGAATGGTCTGGAGATGAGATTTTGGATCAGTTAAACCGTTTGGAATTTGGTCATTTTGGCAAAGGGGTCAGTAACCTCAGACCAACTACACATCTGAACTGGACACACAAGAGTATGTCATTTGAGCTCCCGTACTGGTCAAAGTTAAACTTGAGACACAACCTCGATGTTATACATATTGAGAAAAATGTGTTTGATACTTTGGTCGGGACAATTCAAGACATTGAAAGAAAAAATAAAAGACATGATCGAAGCTCGCCTTAATTTGGAACGAATGGGCATTAGGTGATCCTTGTGGATGAAGAAAGTCGGTGGTACATTGAAAAAATTCATTTTTTACAGTTAAGTCGAATGGGAAGAAAGAGTTTTTCAACTTTATTTCTTTTGTAAAGTTTCCAGATGGGTATACTTCCAATATCTCGCATTGTGTGAACGTGAGGGGGTGTAAATTTTCAAACATGAAGAGTCATGACTGTCATGTGATACTCCAACACCTTTTTCTGGTTGGTATTCGACACTTATTGCCTCTTAATGGGGTGAAACCATTCGTGTTATTGTTGAGATTTTTTTCGTAGTTGACTGCAAGGTGTTTGTGGAAGTCAAATGTTAAACAATTGTAGGATGACATTGTGAACGTCTTATACAACTTCGAACAAATATTTGCCTCAGCTTTCTTTACAAGTATGATTCACGTGATGATTCACTTGCCAGACCAGTGACGATGGTGTCAATGTAATAATGACGATGGTGTCAGACCAGTGACGACAGTTTAATCGTCCTCAACGTAATAATGACAATGGTGTCAGAAAAGAGAAACTGTCTATTTTTGCCCAAACTGCGCGACTATTCGGAGATCCTGTAAAAGGCGAATTGTTTACCAAAAAGGACATGGAGGTAGCGCATTGGTTCATACTCAACAATTGTGATGAGGCTTTGCCATACCTTCAAGAGCATGAACAATTGATGAAGTGGGAACATCCTTCGCATTCATATGCCAAGAAGCACCTTGACTTGTTTGCTTCGTGGTTTCACACACATGTAAGTTGTATGTGTTTTGAATTGAGCATATTTTCCACATTGTTCATGCCCGTCTTTAAATTTGGTTACACTAACAGGTTAACTTTTTGTATATGTTATATTAGATGAACAAATTGAAGGAATTGAATTCACCCTCTTACGATGAAAAATTATATAACTTGGCGAGAGGACCGCTTCACGCTGAATTGTTCTCAGGTTGTCATGTCAATGGAATCAAGTTCTTGGGGACAACACGTGATAACAAGTTGTCTACTCAAAATAATGGTGTCCATGTCCCGGTGCGAGCGACAGTGAAGACATTGATTTTTATGGCAAACTAACTAGTGTAGTACAATTGCTTTACAAAAACAGGTGTCAAGTGATACTGTTTAAGTGTCTTTGGTTTGATACAAACCCACATAACCGAACGAGTGTTAAGCGAGACCATGGTTTACTATCAATAAACACTACGAGACATTGGTACGATGAAGACCCATACATTTTGGCAACTATGGCAAAAACAATATTCTATCTAGACGACCCTAAAGCCAGCAGTGGTTGGAAAGTTGTTCAGAAGATTGATCGAAAGGGCTTTATGATATTCTGGAACTAGATCATGATGACAACGACGACAACGACGCTGACCAACAGTTATCATCTTCAATAGAAATTGGTGAAGAAACACTCTAGGATACTAATATTGTCAAAGAACCGTTTGATGTACCTGGAGTTCCTGAATTCGAAATATCAATTGACCTTGGTGATCTGCCCCAATACAATGCACCGGAAGAGGCAAACGAAGATGAGGATGAATGGGAATCCGGAAATGATAGTAGTGAGGATAGCGGGAGTTATTATTGTAGTTCGGATGATGATTAATATGAACCTATAAAGGAAAAATCAGTAGGCTAAGGAGAGGCAAAGTCAAACTAAAAAGGCACGTGATGAGTTCAAAACAACGCTGGAAGTACGTTGTTTTCTGCTCCCCTCAAATTATTCTTCTCTACATAGAAATTATAAGCTTTGCCTCATTTTCTTGTTCATGGCTTGAATTCCTTGCAGGTTGGATGAAATCCTTAGTCATGGCTTGAATTCCACACACGGGTGTTAAGTTGAAGTATAAATAATGGCAGTGGCAGTTGGTCGTTTCACTGATGAAAACTTGTTCCAAACTGAGTAAAGTATGTTTGACTCCTACGGTGTATGAACTGTATAAAACAGGAATGGGGGAAATTACTTTCGAAAAGGTGAAGTATAATATAAGTAGAAACCATTTTGTTTCCTTCCCAAGTATAAAAACAAATGTTTCCTTCCCAAGTATGCTTAGACAATTGAATGATACCATGAGCTTATTAGTTACTACTTACCATTCACATCTTGTTAGTTAACTGTTATGTGGTTTGGAATGTTGTCTTCTGTATTACTGCTTTATGAAACTGCACTTTACATTGGCGAATGTGGATTTTGCAGATGTAAAGGCAGTCATGAAAAACTCAGGAACTGCAATGCTCGGAGTAGGTGTTTCCTCTAGCAAAAACGGTGCAGAAGAAGCAGCTGAACAGGCGACTTTGGCTCCTCTGATTGGATCTTCAATTCAATCAGCTACTGGCGTTGTGTATAATATCACAGGTGGAAAGGACATAACCCTGTAGGAAGTCAGCGGAGTGTCTCAAGTAACATTACGGGGTTTTATGCTTTAATCTTGAAGGAAGAAAGGGACCCTGAAAAATTTTCTGCTTCCGTATAAATCTAATGAGAGCATTGACTATATTGAAAAGTGGTCTCTTCAGTTTTATGGAACGAGGGAAAAAGTCACTTTAGTGAGCTCGAACCAGCTCCTCAGGATATACATCTTACTTTCCCCATAGTGAGAATCAATTCTTCTACCTCTACATTTTCATTTTCGAAGATGAGGGGGAAGTCGTAAATTATTGCTTGTGGTTGGTGCTGGTAGCCCTTTTTTCTTTGCTCCTTTCCTTGGCCTAATGCAGTCTGCAAACTATTGTAAATTTTCAGGTCCTTCTGCTAACATAATATTTGGGGCCGTTGTGGATGATCGCTACAACGGAGAGCTTCATGTGATATTATTGCAACAGGCCTTTCGCGGTCATTTCAGAAGACACTACTAACAGACCCCAAGGCAGCAAAGCTGCTTGACAAGATTGCAGGGGGCCAAGAAAGCAGAGGGATTCCCCTTCCCCTAAAGTCATCAACCTCGCCCTCCACCATTTCATCAAAACCATTGCTGAGAAAGCTTTTCTTTTATTTCAATTTGTATTTTTTTCTCAGTCTCTTGTGCATTTTGCCTTGTAATGATACTGAAGTTCCAATCTATGAGATTTCATGTCATTATTTTCAGTCAAATCCTTTTATCTATTTCACCTCCCGCTTTTTACTTTCACTGCGTTTTATAACAAAATTTCAAGAAGCATGAACTTGAGATTGGCTAAATCAGTGGTCTCTCAAATATACGTAAACACATTACATGTTTCAGTCATTTTTCCTCATGAAAATGTGAAGATAAGTTAATGGGGATATTTTATATTTGAAAACAAAAAAAAAAAAAATTGAAGAGTTGGAAGAGTTGGACGTCAATGTTGAAGCCATCTGCTTCACTTTCGATCTTAAATTTCCTATCATATCCTTTCGACGATTCATCTCTTTCTCTTATCTGAGTTTCAAAAATGGTAGCATAAAGAATGTCATACAAGGATAGCCAGAAGTATCTTTTACATTATGAAGGACTATCTTACTATAACTATGTTTGATTTTGATCAAAAGTTTCATGAGCTTCTATCACAAACGGTGATCACATGAAATACAAACTCAAAGAACTCATAACTTGGGAATAAACCCCGTCACATGCGACATTGACCAATAGAAACCGGAAATGAAAGAAGAGCATACAACAGTGTTCAATTCCTATATTTGTTCCAATATCAGTTTGGTGTATGCATTAAAACAAGTCAAATATCATACCACTGATATCATCAGCAAGTTTTGTTGCTTCGTTTTATTCCTTTATCCATGAGTCCGAAGAAGATGCAATTGTACTGAAATAATCGCTGCATGCATAATGTACTCAGCTCAGATATCATACCACAGATATCATACCCTTATTACTTGTATTAATAGCTCCATGCATAATGACATAATAAATGCAGCAGTTATATATCATTCTATGTTAAATTCTATGTTAAGATACTGAACTAGGGTTAGGGTTTGATTGTTAACAATCCTTATACATGTTTACATAGCACCAATTCTTCCACCAATTCTTCTAATCGATAGCGCTCAACTCTCAACCGAGGGCAACAAAAGTAAGAAGAAAATTCTCAAAACAAAAAGATGCAAATCGAGTGCTTTTGAAGCAACAAATCCACAATTCAAGCTAGGTAAAACAATTTGAACCAATTCAAGTAAATATTCAATCAAAGCATCAAAATCAAAACTTGAAACAAATTAAGAAGTAATTAAACAACATGCACAAACCTAAACGATCCCACATAACCCATAATTCGCCAAAAAAAATGCGGATCGACCATAAATTCTAATCGAAATTGTCAAAACGAAACAAAGAAATTTTTGATCTCGATCATAAATTTACGGGGGGAAACAAGATTGAAATAGATATGATCCCAATGTAGATGGTGATGAATTACCTGATTTAGGGATTGCGATTGTGGGCCGTGGAGAATGGAGAGATCGGAACGAGGTATCGGGATAGTAACGAGAAGTGAGACGAGGGAGACAGTTTAACTTTAACGGGAGGAGACGACGTCGTACCGCACAACCAACAACAACACAGGGGAGAGGGCGAGAGGGCAGAGACTGATCCTTGCAAAAGGATGATGTTGTTTGTATCTGCAATAGGATAAAGAAAAAAAAAAAACTTTGCGCAACGAAGGTACACATGGGTCGTGCAAAATAACTTTGTGCGACGTACGTAGACTTGTGCCACGCAAAACAGCTTTTCACAATGAAGACATACGTTTTTGTTTTCCTTTTGCTTTTCTTTTGGGGTTCTTGCATTGCCTTTTTCTTTTGTGGTATCCACTTTTGTAAATGCCTTAAATTGACGATATCGAATTAGTTCATTGTATCCATATAGGGTTAAAGAGTGTAGTTGTAAAAAATCATCAAAATCGGAGTTTAAATAACCGTTAAATCATGATTTTTTCGTTTATAACCGTCGAAAAGTTTTATCCCGTTACTTGATCTCTGAAGGTTTTTTTTTTTTTTTTTTTTGCGATTTTTTGCGTATGCGATCTCGAAGCATATACAAACAAGTTTGACGGTTGGATCGTTGGAACTAGTTTCGTAGAATACGTATCCTATTAAAACGATAGATTCCCTAACACTTGGATTTTATTTATACTTTCATCAAGTATAACATAAAATTTTGTGGTATCCACTTGTGTAAATATTTTAAATTGACAATCGAATTAGTTTCTTGTATTCATATAGGATCCAGGAGTGTAGCTGTAAAAAATCATCAAAATCAGAGTTAAAACTATCGTTAAGTCGTGATTTGTTCGTTTATAATCGTTGAAAAGTTTTTTCCCGTTACTTGATCTCAGAACGTTTTTTTTTATGTGATTTTTGGCGTATGCGATCTTGAAGCATATACAAACAAGTATGACGGTTGGATCGTTGAAACTAGTTTCGTAGAATGCGTACCCCATTAAAACGATAGATTCTCTAACAGAGTTTATTTATACTTTCATCAAGTATAACATAAGATTTTGTGGTATTCACTTGTGTACATATTTTAAATTGACGATCAAATTAGTTCCTTGCATTCATATAAGATCCAGGAGTGTAGCTGTAAAAAATCATCAAAATCGGAGTTAAAACTACCGTTAAATCGTGATTTTTTTTGTTTATAACCGTCGAAAAGTTTTGACCCGTTACTTGATCTCTGAACTTTTTTTTTTTTCGATTTTTTGCGTATGCGATCTCAAAACATATACAAACAAGTTTGACGGTTGAATCGTTGAAATTAGTTTCGTACAATGCGTATCGCATCAAATTCAACGGTATATATATTTATTAAGTAGATTTAAATTTATTTATTTTTTACGTATAACAGTGAAGAGTTGGTATGCGTAAGCTTTCTGAGTTATAGCATTGCTAGTTCTCTTTGAAATTATGTCAAACTCAAGGGGAGTATCCTAAAGCATACTTGCTTGATCTTAATGTACTCTTTTTCCTTACGATTAGGAACATTTTTCCCACTAGGTTTTTGCTACCTAACGAGGTCTTGACGAAGCACCCACCTTGGGTTGATCATATCCCTAATGATGTCCCGTAGACGTTTTATTTGCCTTTGCGTTACTCACACATTTTTCCTTAGACTATGAATTTTGTCCCTATTTGGGTTTTTACAATAGCCATAGGGTTTTTTTTTATGAGACTTAGTTCCTTATGCAAGTTCCTACCTTATTTGAGAATAGCGTGTTCCCATAATCAGTGTTAACGAGTCGACTTCCTCAACTACTACATGATGCCGAATTTACTTGAGTATTTACACACTCAAGGGGGATTATAAACTTCTCATTTAACTCAAGGGGGATTATAAACTTCTCATTTAAGTGCGATTATGTAAATCATAGATTAGATTTGATTCTAATTATTCTTCCCTATTAGGACTTATATTCCTTGGGGCAGAAGGATTTCTTCTCTCCTTTATTACTATAAATAAAGGCAATGTGCAGGGGCAATAACACATCCTCTACACAACCCTACAAACACATCTCTCTCTCTCCTTGTCAATTAAATATAGGCCACAACACATATTCTTTTTTTGTAAGTTTTTGTTTTTATATTTTTTATAGATATTAAAGAACTAAAATATAAATAGAAAGAAACTTTTATACTTTTTCTACATTTTGATATATTTTGTAAACCTAAAAAACCTCAAAAGACATCTATACTTTTTAATATTGTTTATAGATCCAAAAAACTTAGTGTAAATAATATTGTTTGTTAAAAAAAAAAAAAATTAAAAAAACACATGTGAGCAGCACAAAAAAAGATTGCATCATTTTGTTTTAATTATTTTTTTTTTGTAAGGTTATATATTATGTTCTATTTTTCTCTTCTATGACTCTACATATCTCATCAAAATGTTATATATATATATATATATATATATAGTTATATATAACAAATATTATGTTATATATAACAAATATATAAAAAAACTTAGATTCCGTAAAGCTTCGCCTAGGCGGACTAATCCATAAAACATCTCGCCTAAGCCTTTGCCTTATAAAACATTAGCAAACAGCTTGACAAGTTTCTACAATGAAGACATATGCCTGACAAAAACAAGTAACTTGGACAGACAACTGCAGCAGCTAATTAGGAGGACCATGCTGATTACAAGGTCAATTTTCCACCATCAATGGAAGGTCATGGAGGCATCCACCAAGTAACGGTCACCACCACTCCCTTCAGGGCATTACCTCCAAACCCAGCACATAACCACAAACTTCAATCTACAACTCAAACCACTAACATCGAGAAGAAGGTCATGGAGGTTGAAGAAATGGTATAGACTGTCATGATGCAGCCGCCACCATGTTCAGCGCCCACAAAGAAGAACTCGAAGTTTTACTTGGCTAAAATCGGCAAATGAGGAAATCACATTAGCATAAACAAGATCATTGAAACCCTGTATGAATTATTAACCCTCTTCTTTGTTAAGAGATTTTCTGATATTCATTTTTGTTTTTCATTTTATTCATGAATTTTTTTTTCCATCTTCAAGTCTTTTTTGAAGTTATTTTTATTATTATCTTAGTGTCCAAGTAAGCAAATAAGTGAGTCTCATTGTTGCCACATGTACATTTAAAGGAAAAATGAACTGAGACTTAACAGATGTAATATTTTCAATAAGTTTGGTACTTTTTTGAAATGTTTAAAAAGATTGAAACCAATTTGAAAAGACATTAAAAAGTGGGGTGGGGGTTCTAGGTACTTAATCTTATAAATTGTTAAACATGCCAGTCGGCATTAAAAAGTGTAGTGAGTGTATAAAAGGAGCCCAGCTCCCAGAAACATAACAAATGAGTTTTTCAAATACAAAAATATTGGAGGTCTGCTCATGCTCTCCCTCTTCCTTCCCTCTTCTTCTATACGCAATAGTTAAGGTTGAGATTTGGGTCTTAACATAAACTAGATACTTTCATATTCTCACACGGAAGGCGGAAGCACGTTGTGGCAAGGGTGGGCAGCTACCCATCCAGACGCTGGAAAATCCCTTGATTGACATCAGTTTCGCCCACCCAGATGCCCTGTAACCTGCAGGAGATAACTGGGTAAAAGCGGCAGCGACCAGAAGAGGAAGAAGAAAAAAAAAATAAAAGTGAAAGCCGTGGACGACACAACGCCTGTTAGTTGTTTTGCTCTAGCCATTAACTAATACGGAGAGTTTAGCCCCTTAATTTCGTATTTCAATTTTTACCCCTCTCCCTCACTTTCTCTTCCTCTCTCTCTCTCTCTCTCTCACACACTTACTTTTTTCCCTCATTAATAATTTACCTTTTCTTTTCCTCAAAGTCGTTTCTTCTTCCTTTTCATTTTTGGTTTCATTTTTCATTAATTAACCAAATTAATACATCCTCTAATCCATGTGTGAATGCCATATCCATTTCAATACTTTTAACATTATAAATTACCTTTGCAGATGACGATTTACCGCTTTGGCAGAAGATAGTCATGCCTATACATCATGGTAAGGGTTGGATTTTTATTGATTCCCTCTTCCCCAACAACCAACAAATTAAACCACTAACACTAACATTTATAAGAAAAAAATATTATAAATTACCTTAACACTGTCAAAACAATATAAAGAGTGTTTTATGCAAGTGGTAAATTGCCCTGATGGTTAGACCCTTCCTCTTTAACCTATCTCGTTTATAATTTTTCATGCAAGTGGTGGACTTTTTGTAGTTTAAAAAAAAAAAGAAAAAAAAGGAAAAAAAAAGAGTTTCATTCTCGAACTTTTAATTTTTATCGTTTGAAAGAAAAACTCAAAAGTTTTCTACAGTTACCACTACTGCTTTTTTTTTTTTGGGAAACTGGAGATATATTACCAGGGCAAAGATGCCAGAGAAGTACAAAGAAAGCCAACAGCAAGACCAACAAGCTACAAAGCAGCAAAAAACAAAAGGAAGGGGATATGAAGAAAGACACTAGAATCAAATTCCAGCATCTCCCCTTCGACTGCCACAAAATTCAAGGGGGACAAGGTAAACCATCTTTATTGAGGACATGAACTAACAAAGATGGAGGTCGGTTGACCCAAGTAAAATTGCATATCTCCGAGTTACTGCATGACACCAAAGTATCGGCCTCCATATTGTCTGATCTTGGAACCCAAGACCAGCGACAGTCTTGAAAAAGACTTCCCAACCCGCTTAATAGCCGATAAAGTAGGAAAGGCTTCCCAACTGCCATTGTTCAACGAAGTTGATAAGGATGAAATCGAATCCTTCGAATCAGATTCAATAATTACCTAACGGTGACCCAAAGTAGCAACCAGCTCACAACCTCGCAAAAAAGCCAAAGCTTCAACCGAGGCAACACTTGGAGCTTGAATCGCAAACCGTGTCCCAGCCACGAATCTGCCCATCTTACCCCTAATCACAATCCCCACAAACCATTCCGCATTGAAACTGACCAGCTAGCATCAACATTAACTTTCAGGAAGGGGCTGTAGAGGGGGACCAATGAGCAATAGGATCAACCACCATGGCAAAAGCTAGGAGAGAAGTGGGACAATTGGCATTAAGGTCAAGAAACACACCAGCAACATTAGAAATTTCAAGAAGAACCTAGGTAGGTTGAATTAGAGTGTGATTAAACTGAAACTTGCATCACGCTTTCCAAATATGCCAACAAATAAATGCAACATGAGAAAGCAATACCCCATGCTCCTCTTTAGACCCAAACTGCCGAGTAGCAATGAAAAGAAACCAATCCACCCATGAAGTAATCCCTGATCTATCAACTTTGTAATTGAGAATTCCACCAAACCAAATAGTCTCCACCTATGGGCATAATAAGAGGAGATGCTCAATAGTTTCCTTATGACGGTTGTATGTTGGACACTTCGGTGAAGGGGGCTAATTTCCTTACAAAAATATTTCCTATCGTAACCAGTGCACG